ATTTTAATAAATTCAATCATGAAATGACACATGAAATACGCGAAAACCGGCGCATTTTAAACGGCTTCATTTACTCTTTCAATTGACATATAGTGAGGGTCCAAACAAGCATATACGTTTTTATTTTTTCACATATGTATATTTTTATTTTTTTTCATGTATAAAAGTTATAAACATTTACATATAGACAAGTTATAAAAGAAAAGTTACTTGTATTTAGCAATAATATCGCCATCGTTATCGATTATTGTTTGCAATCGTTTTGCATATCCAGCAATGTGATTTCTAGCGATAATGTTATATTTATCTGATTTCCATATTTGTGGAATTATATTACTCATATGGATCAAAATATCATCAGAATCAACCAAATGTGTATTGCTTGCAATTTCATTAGCAATTTGAGATTGAAAGGTTCCAAACATGGATGAATCCAATATAGAACAATCATGAGAATACGGTGGATAACCACCTTCAACCTGCTGATGGTACCCAGCGCTACCATACAGTTCTATTCCGTTTTTAGATAAAAATTGTTGAATTTGTAATGTATGATTCAAATTTACGCAATCTGACATCAAAATTTTTGAATTAATTGCTTTCATAAATGGAACAACACAACTTTTTAAACCACGCAAGTAAGTTTGTTCATTTACTTGTTCATCAACCCATGTTTCAACTTGTTTTCTTATTTTCTCTCAATAATTGAGTTTGTCCATGTAAATAAACGTCACAGCCGTGTTGATTTGCTACGAACATACCATGAATAGATGGATTAGACTTTGTATCTATCACAGGTCTTAATGGTTTTGTTGAATCTTTTCTTCGACATTGGCGTTGATGTGTCCAATTTTGACCATACCCATAAGCTTTTTTGTGATCAAGAAATGTAATATTTTGAAATGAATTTTTTAATTGGCCACGTCTATTCAATAACACTCAAGCAAATTTAATTCTTTTGATAGAAACAAAATTATTATGATTTTTTTCTTTCTTTGGTGGTTTTTTCCATGTAACTTTGTTTTTTAAATGCTTCTTTAAGGTACTTTTCGCACATTTTAATTTTTCTGCAGCATCTTTTAAATGTTGTCCAATTTGCAAATTTTCACATACAGTGATTGCATGATCGATTTCTTGTTTGTTTGAAAATGATTGTTGAATTGGACCACCCGATTTGCCTTTTTTACGATCACATAATGTTCCTCTTTTCAACAGTAAATCTTTTCGATCCCACCAACGCTTACAAGTTTTTTTATTGAAACTTGTCTCTTTTGGTAATTCCACATACGTAACTTTTCGTCCTGAGTTTTCAATTTGCATACCTGTTGTGATTATTTTCATTCGTTGGTCAGGCTTTAAATTTGTAGAGTTCGACATTTTCATAGTTAAAATAATATACCAATTGATTACATCTATCGCCTTGGAGTTCAGAATTAGAATTAAAAACTTTAAATATCTTAGATAAAAATAAAAACGTATATGCTTGTTTGGACCCTCACTATATGTCAATTGAAAGAGTAAATGAAGCCGTTTAAAATGCGCCGGTTTTCGCGTATTTCATGTGTCATTTCATGATTGAATTTA